TGAGGGATGTAAAGCGGTATGCCAGTGTTGTTTTATTTATCATGTCGTGAGAAAGCGTTTTAAATGCTCCATTTTCAGGGCATAAATCTAAGCAGTGGCAGCCAGCCTGTGACATAGCCAAGCACACGGCTCACGCACCTAGAAGGTCACGATAAGCCAACAGAATGTGTGTGTGTGGGGGGGGTGTCAGCCTTTTTTTTTCCAGCTGTTGAGTTGTTTGAGTGTCTTGTGTATTCTGGATATTGGTCCCTTGTAGGGTGAACACTTTGTGAATATTTTCTCCTTTTCAACAGGCTGTATCCTCATTCTGTTGGTGATTCCCTTTGCTGTTGTGCAGAAGCTTTTTGGTCTAATATTGCCCCATTTGTCTATTTTTTATGTCATCGCCTGTGCTTTTAAGGTCTTAGCCGTAACATCGTTGCCCAGACCAATGTCCTTAAGTGTTTTCTTCCAGTAGTTTTATATTTTCAGGTCTCACTTCACCTCTTTAACGCACCTGGAGTTGCCTTTTGTAGATGGCTGGAGATAGGAGCCCAGTTTCATTCTTTGCATATGGATGCAATTTTCCGAGCACCATTCACTGAAGAGGGTGTCCTTTCCCCACTGTGTGTTCCAGCACCTTTGTCAGAAATCAGTTGGCTGTAAGTATGCGGATGTCTGAATTCTCTGTTCTGTCCCAGTGGTCTATGTGTCTGTTTTCATATGCATACGATGCTGTTTTGGTTAGGATACTCTTACGGTATACTTTGAAGTTGGGTAATGTGATGCCGCCAGCTTTGCTCTTTCTGCTCAGGATTGCTTTGGCTATTTGGGCCCGTTTTTCGCTCCACAAAGATTTTAGGATTGTTTTTTCTATGGCTGTGAAGAATGGTGTTGGTATTTTGATAGGCATTGCATTGAATCTGCAGATTGCTTTGGGCAGCATGGTCATTTTAACAACAGGAATTTTTCCAGTCTTTCCATTTGTGTGCGTCATCCTCAGTTTTTTCCATCAGTGTTTTGTAGTTTTCCTTGTGGAAATCTTTCAAGTAATTGGCTAAATGTATTCCCATATATTTTCTTTTTTTGTAGCTGTTGTACACGGAATTATCTTCTTGATTTCTTTGTCAGCTCTATCATTGTTGGTGTATGGAAGCACTACTGATTTTGTATGTTGATTTTACATCATGGAACCCTGTGATAGATTTATTTACCAGATCTAACAATTTTTTAGTGGAGTCTTTAGGTTTGTCCAAATATAAGATTATATCATCTTCAGAGAGGGACAATGTGACTTGTTCGTTCCCTTTTTTTTTTCCCTTTTATTTCTTTCTCTTGCCGATTGCTCTGGCCAGGACTTCAAGTATCATGTTGAGCAGAAGTGGTGAAAGTGGTTATCCTTGTCTTCTTCCAGATCCTAGAGGGGAGGCTTCCAACGTTTCCCCATTCGGCATGTTAGCTGTGGGTTTGCCGTATGTGGTCCTTACTATGTTATGTTCCTTCTATGCGATTTTATTGAGAGTTTTCATCATAAAGGGGTGTTGAATTTTATTAAATGCTTTTTTTCTGTATCTATTGAGATGATCATATGATTTTGGTCCTCCATTGATGTGATCTACATGTTGAACCATCCTTACGTCCTGGGATAACTCCCACTTGATCAGGATGTATTCTTTTTCATGTGCTTTGGATTCAGTTTGCTGGTATTTTATTGAGAATTTTTATGTCTCTGTCCACCAGGGACATTGGCCTATAGTCTTATTTTTTCTTTACATCTTTGTCTGGTTTTGGTATCAGGGTGATGCTGGCCTGGTAGAATGGGTTAGGGAGAATTCCCTCCTTTTAATTTTCTGGGAATAGTTTAAGGAGAATTGGTATTATTTTTTTCTTTGAATGTTTGGTTGAATTTCGTAGTGAAGCCATCTGGTCCTGGGCTTTTCTTAATTGGGAGACTTTTATTATAGAGTCAATCCCATTTCTTATCATTTGTCTGTTCAGGTTTTCTCTTTCTTCCTGATTCAATCTTGGTAGGTTATATGTACCCAGGAATTTATCCATTTTCTCTAGGTTTTCCAGTTTGTGTGCATAGTTATTTGATGATTATAGTTTGTGTAATTATGCAATAATTACATAAAATAAAGCAATAATACGGGGTGGGAGGGAAGAATTAGGATGATGTTGTTGTTATACGGCACTTGCACTGCTCATGAAGCAGTATAGTTTTATTTGAAAGAGGACTTTTATGTTAGTTGTAAATGTATACTGTGAACTCTAGGGCAATAAAGATACCTGCGTTGGATGTACTCCCAGGCATGTCCCAGCTCTCTACTGCTTTTAAGTTAGTAGCCAATCAGGTTCTAGTTTAGATTGCGGGGTCTGGCTCCAGCCAACAGAGACCAGACACAGCAGTAAAGATGACCCCAGATGCCTAAGTATAAATTTGTGTTTTCCTTTGTTCATTGTACTCTCCTGGCACGATGGCTAGCGAGGGTACCCTCCCTGCAGTCCAGAAAGTAAAAATTGCGTTGCCGAAAGATTCTTTGTCTCAGTGCTTTTTCTTCGTGGCATGGAGTGTCGATTTCCAACAATCAGGGTATGGATAGGAAGGATTTCTCTAGCGCTTCTCAGTAGCTTTGCATGCTGCTTCATACATTGCATGCAACGTTCGTATTTCAAATCTCTCCCCCTAGGCGTGATTTTTAGCATGAAAATGAGGAAGGGGTAACTGTAGTTGAAGTTTAAGTCTAACTGCACATGTGGGACCCGGGGAAGTTCCTAGGCCCCTAGAGCAGGAACTTGGGGTTCACAGCTTCTTGGGTCTTGGGCTATGGATTGGCTGGAAGTTCAGCTGCCATTTGAGGCAGGCACTTTGTTCTTTTTCCCTAAACCACATCAAAACAGGCAAGCAGCCAGCCTGCCCGTTTCAAAAGGAGAGACTGGTAAGCAAGACCTGAAGATGCGGCCTCTGAGATGAGAGGAAAGCGTGAGAACGTGTGTCCTGGGCGGTGAGAGCAGCAGGGGTAGCAGAGATGACGATCGATTCTGGTCTGGTTCCTGGAGGACAAGGCTGAGAATTGCCCCGTAACAATTTAGAGACCAGTGATCCCCTTGGCAAGAGTTTTTAGTGGAGTTGGTTGTTACCAGAAAAGGGAACTGATCCAGACCCCCAAAGAGGGTTCTTGGACATCACGCAAGAAATAATTTGGGGCCAGTCCACAGAGTAAAGTGAAAGCAAGTTTATTAAGGCAGCCAAGGAATCAAAGAATGGCTACTCCATAGACAGGCGGGTGTTCGCAGAAGCACCAGGAGGAAGGCGTCCACCTGGGTACAACGCTTGTGTCAAAACGTCACCGGGCTCGCACGCCTGTCCTGCCCAACCATCTATATCATCATCTTTAAAGCTAAACTTCAACGAAGAATGCTTTTGTTCCTAAGACACCAGCACATCAGGACCCAAGTCCCGGGTCTGCTGGGTAAACGTTATTAACCTGTTCCGGTGACCATAAACGCCAGAGGCCGAGGGCAAGGCGGGCTCGAACTCGGGCTCTTCTAGCCCGGTCCCGTTCACCGGGCAGCAGCACCCGCGCAGGAACCGCGCCCACCATTTGTGGCACTCTGCCCCCGCCCGCCGCCTGCCGCCCGCCTTATTTTTTGAGACGAGTCTTGCTCTGTCGCCCAGGCTGGAGTGCAATGGCGCGGGCTCGGCTCACCGCAACCTCCGCCTCCCGGGTCCAAGCGATTCTCCTGCCTCGGCCTCCCGAGTAGCTGGGACTACAGGCCCGCGCCACCATGCCCAGCTAATTTTTTGTATTTTTAGTAGAGACGGGGTTTCACCATGTTGACCAGGATGGTCTCGATCTCTTGACCTCGTGATCCACCCGCCTCGGCCTCCCAAAGTGCTGGGATTACAGGCGTGAGCCACCGCGCCCGGCCGCAATTTTTTTTTTTTGAGAAGGAGTTTTGCTCTTGTCGCCCAGGCTGGAGTGCAGTGGCGCAATGTTGGTTCACTACAACCTCCTCCTCCCGAGTTCAAGCAATTCTCCTGCATCAGCCTTCAGAGTAGCTGGAACTACAGACCCCCTTGCCACCATGCCTGGTTAATTTTTGTATTTTTAGTAGAGACAGGGTTTCACCATGTTGGCCAAGCCTGCCTCAGTCTCCCAAAGTGTGCAATTACAGGCATGAGCCACCATACTTGACCTTTTTTTTTTTTTTTTTTGGAAAAGGGTCTTGCTCTTTCCCCAGGCGGGGGGGCGGGGGCCCAGTGTCGGCTCCCTGCAACCTCCATCTCCTGGGTTCAAGCAATTCTTCCGCCTCAGCCTCCTGAGTAGCTGGGACTACAGGCGCGTGCCACTACGCCTGGCTAATTCTTGTATTTTTAGTAGAGACGGGGTTTCACCATGTTGACCAGGATGGTCTCGATCCCTTGACCTCATGATCCACCCGCCTCGGCCTCCCAAAGTGCTGGGATTACAGGCGTGAGCCACCGCGCCCGGCCAATTTTGTACTCTTAGTAGAGACGGAGTTTCTCCATGTTGGCCAGGCTGGTCTCGAACTCCTGACCTCGTGATCCGCCCGCCTCGGCCTCCCACGGCGCTGGGATTCCCGGCGCGCGCCGCCGCGCCCGGCCTCTCTGTGGCACTTTTGACCGGAAAGGGCCTTCCTCGCGCAGGAAGCCGAGGCAAGGATCGCGCCGGAGCGGCTGTCGGGCCTGCAGCCGTTCTGTTCCGAGCGGATCGCGCGTCCGCAGCTCACCCGCGCCCGGCGGCCGGGCCCGGCAGCCACTCGGCGGAGGCCCGAAGAGGAGCCTGCGCACTGCCCAGGACGCAGCGCCGCCATGCTTGGGCCCGCGCCGACGGCGGTCACCACGGGGCATGCGCAGACGGCCGTGCCCGGAGCCTTTTACCGGGAGGCTGGGCTCGAAGAGAAGCGGGCGCGCAGGCGCCGGGCGAGAGGCTGCGCTTGCCCGACCCTGGAGCGCGCGTGCGCGTGAGAGCCGGAAGGGGCGGTGCCTGGTGGCCGGCGCCTGCGCAGTGGGGCGGTGCCGGGGGCGGGGCGCGGCGGCTGTCAGCTGACTGTGGCGGCGGCGGCGGCGTCGAGGTGACAACCGTCCCCGTCACAGGCTCCGGCGGGGGCGCAGGAGGTCGCCCGGCGCGTCATTCCCGGGTCGGCGAGGCCCACGGCCGGCCGCAGCACCATGGCGACCACCGTCAGCACTCAACGCGGGCCGGTGAGGCCTCCGGGCTAGGGTCGGGCGGGGGCGGCGACCTGCGGCGGCGGGCGGGGCCTCGGGCCCGGGCTTCTGGTCGGGGACGGCGGGCAGGCCGGCTCCTTGGCTCTCCCGGGGCACGCGGGGCGCCCGGCCGGCGGGAGGGAGCGGCGGCGTCCACACTCGGGGCGGGGCGGGGCGGGCCGGAAGGTTGCGCCAGCGCTGCGGGACGCTCGAGCTCCCCGCCGCGCCCGGGCAGAGCGCTCGGGAGGCGGCCCCGGGTGAGGGGGTCTGCGCGCGGGGTGAGCCTCAGATGGTCGGGCGCCGCTCCCTAATGGTCCCCAGATGGAGGAGGGCCCCGTGCCCCGTGTCCCCAGATGGAGGAGGGCCCGTGCCCCGTGTTCCCAGATGGAGGAGGGCCCGTGCCCCGTGTTCCCAGATGGAGGCGGCCCCGTGCCCCGTGTTCCCAGATGGAGGAGGGCCCGTGCCCCGTGTTCCCAGATGGAGGAGGGCCCGTGCCCCGTGTTCCCAGATGGAGGAGGGCCCCGTGCCCCGTGTTCCCAGATGGAGGCGGGCCCCGTGCCCCGTGTTCCCAGATGGAGGCGACCCCGTGCCCCGTGTTCCCAGATGGAGGCGACCCCGTGCCCCGTGTTCCCAGATGGAGGCGGCCCGTGCTCTGATGGTTCCCCAGATGGAGGCGGCCCCGTGCTCTGATGGTTCCCCAGATGGAGGCGTCCCCGTGCTCTGATGGTTCCCCAGATGGAGGCGGCCCCGTGCTCTGATGGTTCCCCAGATGGAGGCGGCCCCGTGCTCTGATGGTTCCCCAGATGGAGGCGGCCCCATGTCCCATGTTCCCCAGATGGAGATGGGCCCGGTGCCCCATGTCCCCAGATGGAGGCGGCCCCGTGCTCTAATGGTCTCCCAAATGGAGGAGGGCCCCGCACCCTAATGGTTCCCCAGTTGGAGGCGGGCCCTGTGCCCCATGGTTCCCCGGTGGAGGCGGGCTGCACCCTAATGGTCCCCCAGATGGGGGCGGCCTCTGCATCCTGATGGCCCCCGCGGTGGGGGTGGGCCTACACTCTGGTTGGTCCCATGGATGGTGGCAGTTTCCTCCTCCTCCTCCTCCCTTAGGCTACATGAGAGCAGTGGTGACCACTTCTTGGGCGCAGTTGTGTCCCCAGTTCCCCAGTTAGTGGCCACCGTGTAAAGCCTCAGTTTCTTCATTTGCAAATGAGAGGATAGGTGCCAAGAATTTGAAAGAACATTTCCTGCTCCGTATTCTCTTCTGAGGGTTGCCTGTCAGTTTCTATAGCATTCATATTGCAGGAGAGCTGCTGTGGATGGACTCAGAGACGATGGGCTCCTGGCGTGAGTGCCTCCTGGTGTGAGTGGGCTCCTGGCGTGAGTGCCTCGTGGCGTGAGTGGGCTCCTGGCGTGAGTGGGCTCCTGGCTTGAGTGCCTCCTGGCGTGAGTGGGCTCCTGGCGTGAGTGGGCTTCTGGCGTGAGTGCCTCCTGGCGTGAGTGGGCTCCTGGAGTGAGTGGCCTTCTGGCGTGAGTGGGCTCCTGGCGTGAGTGGGCTCCTGGCTCACTGTTAGGTCCTTCGTGCATTGCTGTAAAGAAATACCGGAGACTGGGTAATTTCTAAGATAGGAGTTTTAATCAGCTCCGAGTTCTGCAGACTACAGGTAGCACGGTGCAGGCATCTGCTCCTGGGGAGGCCTCTGGAAGCTTCCAGCCATGGCGGAAGATCAAGTGGGAGCCTGCATGTCATGTGGCGGAAGCAGCAAGAGAGTTGGGGGTGGGAGCTGCCACACACTTTTTAATGACCAGATCTCGTGAGAACTCACAATCACCAGGACAGCACCAAGCCGCAAGGCACCTGCCCCCGTGACCCTGCCTCCAACATTGGGGATCACAATTCAGCGTGAGATTTGGCAGGACACAGATTTAAACTGTGTCACTCACTGAGGCTGGGCTGGGGCGGGCTGTTGGGAGCAGTCCAGTTTTTGTCAACAGCAGCTCTAAACGTGCCGTGGGTGGAAAAAGTCCTTTTCCACTGTGCTGCAAGGTCCTTGCACTCATGCAGCCAGTACTGGACGTGGTGGAGGGTTCCCCGGGCTCCCCACAAGTCCTGCTGTTTCTCCTAATGAGGGAATTTTTCAGGCAGAACATTTTTTCTGAGTTGAGAATGAAGCCCCAGGTTTTGGGCACAGAGGGTTTTTCTGAGGACTTTGAAGGAAACCTCCTGTGACACACATGAGACTCAGTTGTGGAGCCTGTGGGTCAGCAGAGGTCCTGGACGGCCTCTGATGTCAGCATCTCCACCCCTTCGTCTTCACTGCACCACAGCGAGTCCCTGCAGGCTGCTGTGGCAGTGAGGTGCTCCTTTCTGCCTCACCAGAGGCTCATAGCAACAAGGGAACCAGCACCCCTTTTGTGTCCTCCTGGAGAGTGGGGGGCACAGTGGCCGGGCAGGATGGCCCCTTCCTTACTGTGTGGTCTGGGAGGTGTCCTCAGCCTCCTGGGAACTTGTCCCTCATCTGGAACTGCACTGGGGTGTGGGACTGAGTTTGAATTCAGGGTCTGAGCACCACGGAGCAGCTGGGAGGCAGGCCCTTCCTGTTGTGAGGGACCCCGACATGCAGCGCTGTGGTGCCTGCGATGAGGAAGTGGGAGCGGCAGTGTTCATACATGCAGGGCCTGTGCCGACGCATGCTGAGGTGTCGTCAGACTCTCCTGTTGCCTGGTGCCTCCTGGGCTGTGTTTCTATCCTATGTAGACAAGCAGGGAGGTGGGGAGGAGGGAGCTTCGGGGGCCGAGGATGGAGGGAGGCTGGAACTAGTGGCCGCAGGAGGGTCTTGGGCACAGGAAGGCTGGACTTGACCCTGAGTTCATCAGGTCAGTGCAGCACTCTCTGTGAAGTGTTGCCCACACATGCCCACTGCAGGGCCTGCCTTGGCACTGGCCTGCCTCACTGGACATGACCCATCCAGCCCCTCTGGATGAGCTCATGCTGGGCCTTGGGCCAGTTATTAGCATCCAGAGGAACTCCTGCTTTTGCAGGACGTATTGACACGACATTTATCGTGTCCTCCTCTTTCTCTTAACTCGTGATGCGGGGGAGGCAGAAGGTTAGGCAGGGTGCTCGGCTTTCCAGCAGAAAGAGGTGCTGCCCAGGGCCCGGGGCAGGCTGCAGCTCAGGAGACCCTGACTGCAGTCTAGCTGCTGCCTCCCCCTAATGAAGAGGGGTGACAGCAAGGTCCCATGGGCCGTGAAGGGGGGCCTGGGAGGGTTCTTTTGTCTTTGGGTAGAGGGAACTTCAGGGGCCTGGCGGGTAGGTATGGAGACGACCTGTGTAAAGCCAGGCAGCCCGACATCGTTCTGAGAGTCACACAGTGTTTACATCTCCAGGATTGTGCCTCCCTGACAGCCACTAAGGGATGCTTCAGCCTGTGCAGCGTTGGCCTCACTTTTCAGAAATGTCCGTATTTTGGAGAGATAACCCTTTTTCAGTACAGTCTGCACCTTGTCAGAAAGCGTCAGTGAATGCCTGCAAGGAGTGCCGTGCGGCCCCGCCTTCCCCGGTGAGGTCCCGGGCACTGAGAACTCCGGGCTGGCGGCCCCGCATTCCCCGGTGAGGCCCCGCCTTCTGCAGGGAGAAGTCAGGGACATGGGCCGCCGTCTTCCGCAGGGAGAAGTCAGGGTGTTGGTGGGAGACTCTGCCTTCGGCCATTGCGGCACTGGCAGCTAGAGAGGCCTCCTTCGTAGAGTAGAGGTGGGTGTGCTGTGCTGGGTCCAGGCTGCTCCAACTCCTTGTCCTGCTTTTGGAGGCGCTGGCTGACCATGGAGTCCAGCTGGAGGCGGCGGGGCCCCTCCTCTCCCTGAGAGGCCTGTGCCTGCCCGGGTTGCCTCACTCTTCACTTCGTGGATAATTCCTGCCGAATCAGTGACTTCATTAGGGATGGCAGAGGGTAGTTTCTTAACTTTATCATTTATTCAGTGCTTATTAACTGTGATTGTTCTTAAAGATAAAGCTTTCCCCATCAACCGGTGTCGGCCAGTTGTCTTGGAATAGAATTTGTGAAGGAAAGGTAAGCTAAATGCTTAGGTAGTCCTTTTCCCTTCCTTTCCCATACCTCAAGGAGAGTTGCTCTTCCTTGTAGGCATGTGTGGGCTTTCTCTCCCCCGAGCTTGTGAGGAGCCCGTGGATTTTCCTGCATCCTGTGTGGCTGAGCCCGTGGCACTCACCCCTCTCCACTGGCCCAGGTGGGCCTCGGGTGGGCTCTTCCTGAGCCAGCGAAGGACACCCTCACGGCCTGCTCACGAGTCCTTGCTCTCTGGGCCCCTGTGAACGTCTGTGCTGGATTTTTGAGGCCAGGTTGTGAGTGTACAAGTATAGAATGGCTGTGTTTTCCTGGAAATGAGATCTTTTTTTTTTTTTTTTTTTTTTGAGACGGAGTTTCCCTCCGGTTACCCAGGTTGGGTGGAATGGGGGGGTCTTCGCTCACC